ATTCATTTACATGCACAACAGAAGGAAATGCTGCCCAGTCTTGCACCATCCCCATGATCAGTTTGGATTGGTCTGTTGTGACCTATGGGGTTTTCATTGGCTGATTTCAGAAATAGATTGCAAGGCCTTTCTTTCTAGTCAATGTTAGTCTGGAAGCTCCACTGAAATCTGTTCAGCATTATAGCAACACACAAGCCGTCACTTATGGCTAGGTGGTAGCTGCACATGAAGTGCATTGGCTAGGAATTGAACCCAGGTGTTTTGCCTGGCTCCATACGTCTGTCAGTTTGTCATACTGTGGGGGCTTGCATGTTGCTGTGGTGCTGGAAGCTATGCCACTGGTATTTCAAATACCAGCAGGGTCACCCATGGTGGACAGGTTTCAGCAGAGCTTACAGACTAAGACAGACTAGGAAGAAGGACCTAGTGGTCTATTTCTGAAAAAATTGGCCAGTGAAAACCTTATGAATAACAGTGGAACGTTGTCTGGTATAGTGCCAGAAGATAAACCCCTCATGTTGGAAGGCACTCAAAATATGACTGAGGAAGAGCTGCCTCCTCAAAGTAGAGACAATCTTAACAACATGGATGGAGTCAAGCTTTTGGGACCTTCATTTGCTGATGTGGCATGACTCAAAATGAGAAGAAGCAGCTGCAAACATCCATTAATAATTGGAACATGGAATGTACAAAGTATGAATCTAGGAAAATTGGAAGTCAAAAATGAAATGGAATGCATAAAGATCTATATCCTAGACATTAGTGAGCTGAAATGGACTGGTATTGGCCAATTTGAATGGGACAATCATATGGTCTACTATGCCGGGAATGACAAACTGAAGAGGAATGGCATCACATTCATTGTCAAAAAGATCCTTTCAAGATCTAGCCTGCAGTACAATGCTGTCAGTGATAGGATAATATCCATACGCCTACAAGGAAGACAAGCTAATACAACTATTATTCAAATTTACACGCCAATCAGTAATGCCAAAAATGAGGAAACTGAAGATTTTTACCAATTTCTGCAGTCTGAAATTGATCAAACATGCAATCAAGATGCATTAATAATTATTGGTGATTGCAATGCGAAGGTTGGAAACAAAGAAGGATCAGTAGTTGGAAAATACGGTCTTGGTGATGGAAAGGATGCTGGAGATCGCATGATAGAATTTTGCAAGACAAACAACCTCTTCATTGCAAATACCTTTTTTCAGGAACATAAGTGGCGACTATATAGACACATGGACCTCACTGGATGGAAAACACAAGAATCAAATTGACTACATTTATGGAAAGAAACAATGAAGAAGCTCAATATCATCAGTCAGAACAAGGCCAGGGGCCGACTTCGGAATAGACCATCAATTGCTCAATGCAAGTCCAAGCTGAAGCTCAAGAAAATTAGAACAAGTCCACAAGAGCTAAAATACAACCTTGAGTATATCCCACCTGAATTTAAAGACCACCTCAAGAATAGATTTGACACATTGAACACTAATGACCGAAGACCAGAAGAGTTGCAGAACGACATCAAGGACATCATATGTGAAGAAAGCAAAAGGTTTCACCCTTCAGCCAAAGATCAGACAGGCCTGTAAAACAAAACAAGACCGAATGGGCACACCATCCCAGGGGCAAGGACGAGAAGGCAGGAGGGGACAGAAAAGCTGGTAATGAGGAACCCAAGGTGGAGAAGGGGAGAGTTTAACATGTTGTGGGGTTGGCAACCAATGTCACAAAACAATGTGTATTAATTGTTTAATGAGAAACTAATTTGCTCTGTAAACTTTCATCTAAAGTACAGTTTAAAAAGAAAGAAAGAAAGCAAAAGGTCATTAAAAAGACAGGAAAGAAAGAAAAGACCAAAATGGATGTCAGAAGAGACTCGGAAACTTGCTCTTGAACATAGAGTAGCTAAAGAGAAGGGAAAAAATGATGAAGTAAAAGCTGAACAGAAGATTTCATGGGCAGCTTGAGAAAACCAAGTATTATAATGAAATGTGCAAAGACCTGGAGTTAGAAAACTGAAATGTAAAAATGCTAGGCATTTCTCAAGCTGAAAGAACTGAAGAAAAAATTCAAGCCTTGAGTTGCAATACTGAAGGATTCCACAGGGAAAATATTGAATGATGCAAGAAGCATCAAAAGAAGATGGAAAGAATATAGTCACTGTACCAAAAAGAAGTGGTACATGTTCAACCATTTCAGGAGGTAGCATATGATCAAGAACCAATGGTACTGAAGGAAGATGTCCAAGCTACACTGAAGACATTGATGAAAAACAAGGCTCCAGGAATTGATGGAATACCAATTGAGATGTTTCAACAAACTGATGCAGTGCTGGAGGTGCTCACTTGTCTATGTCAAGAAATTTGGAAGAGACATACCTGGCCAACCAACTGGAAGAGATTCATATTTGTGCCCATTCCAAAGAAAGGTGATCAAAATGAGGAAATTATCTAACAATATTTTTAATATTATATGCAAGTAAAATTTTGCTGAAGATCCTCCAAAAGCGGTTGCAGCAGTACATTGACAGAAGTTCAATATGGCCAGAAGTTCAAGCTGGATTCAGAAGAGGGTGTGGAACAAAGGATATCATTTCTGATGTCAGGTGAATCATGGTTGAAAGCAGAGAATGCCATAAAGATATTGACCTGTGTTTTATGGACTATGCAAAGGCATTCAACTGTGTGTATCATAACAAATTATGGATAACATTGCAAAGAATGGGAATTCCAGAAGACTTAATTGTGCTCATGAGGAACTGGTACATAGACCAAGAGGCAATCATTCAAACAGAACAAGGGGATACTGTGTGGTTTAAAGTCAGGAAAGGTGTGTGTTGGGGTTGTATCCTTTCACCACACTCATTCAATCTGTATTCTGAGCAAATAATCCAAGAAACAGGACTATATGAATAAGAAAATGGCATCAGGATTGGAGGAAGATTCATTAACAACCTGCGATATGCAGATGACACAACCTTGTTTGCTCAAAGTGAAAAGGACTTGAAGCACTTACTGATGAAGATCAAAGACTACAGCCTTTAGTAGGGATTGCATTTCAACATAAAAAAACCAAAAATTCTCACAACTGGACCAATAAGCAACATCATGATAAATGGAGAAAACATTGACGTTGTCAAGGATTTCATTTTACTTGGATCCACAATCAATGCCCATGGAAGCAGCAGTCAAGAAATCAAATGACGTATTGCAATGGGCAAATCTGCTGCAAAAGACCTCTTTAAAGTGTTAAAAAGCAAAGATGTCACTTTGAGAACTAAGGTGCACCTGACCCAAGCCATGGTTTTTTCAATTGCCTCATATGCATGCGAAAGCTGGACAATGAATAAGGAAGACCGAAGAAGAATTAACGCCTTTGAATTATGGTGTTGGTAAAGAATATTGAATATACCATGGACCATGAGAAGAACAAACAAGTCTGTCTTGGAAGTACAGCCAGAGTGCTCCTTAGAAGCAAGGATGGCGAGACTACATCTCACATACATTGGACATGTTATCAAGAGGGACCAGTCCCTGTAGAAGGACATCATGCTTGGAAAAGTAGAGGGTCATCGAAAAAGAGGAAGACCTTCAACGAGATGGACTGACACAGTAGCTGCAACAATGGGCTCAATCTTGACGATTGTGAGGATGGTGCAGGACCCGGCCATGTTTTGTTTTGTTGTGCATAGGGTTGCTATGAGTCAGAACGGACTCTATGGCATCTAACAACTTTTGTCTGGAAGGTGCGAATTCTACCACTGAACCACCACTGCTTCCATATGCCAGTCTAAGATCCAGCAATCCATTGCTGTTATGTACCCAAGAGGAATGTTACAATATGTATGCCTAAAGACATGTTCAAGAATGTTCATAGCAGATTTATGCATAATAGTAAAAAACTTAAAATAACTCAAATGCCCATCAAGAGGTGAATGGACAGATAAATTGTGGTATATGCACACAATGGAATACTACTCAGGAAACAACATGATACATGCAACATGGATGAATCTCATAGATAAAATGTTGAGCAAAAAAAAAAAAAGACTAAAATATATGTATTGTATTATACCATTTATATGAAGTTCTAGAAAAAGTAAATTAGTCAGTGATGCTAGCAGTCAGGATACTGTTGCCTCAAGGGATGGAGCACTGGAACCAAGAGTGCCTGTATCTTGATTTGGGTGGCACTTACATGGTGCGAACATCAGGCTTAACCCTTAACTAGCAAAATATTAAACGTAGTCTATAGTCACTTGATTCAGTGAGCAGCTGTGGGTGAGAAGTATAGAAGCAAGAGAGGGAAGAGTCTGGATCTGCGATGGGGGTGGAGTAGACTGCTAGTTATGTTCCCTTTGGAAAAGGTAGTCTGGGCCTGAGGGTCCTCTGTGTCCTCAAGCAAGTCCCTGCCCCGCTCTGGGGCTCAGTTTCCCCGTCTGTGGAGTTGATCCAGGAATTCCAAGCCCTCTTCCTGCGCTTCTGCTGTGGCATCTCACTCCATGCCAAACAAGGCTTCTCGGAAAAATCTCTCCCCAGCAGATCCAGCTGCGTATGGGGTGAGCTCCGCAGTTCCAATCCCACCACGGCCCCAGCCGGCTGTGATCTTACTCAAGGTATTTTTGCTGCCCTGGGCCGCTCTTTCCTTATCTGCAAGCGCACAGTGCATAGAATTTAAGCCCAGTGAGTACTTACTGAGCGCTTCCTGTGTACGAGGCCTTGGCTATGCATGGCTATGCTCACAGCAAGTACTTAATAAATGGTGGCTGTCGTGGCTATAATTACAATGCCACTACACGTGAAGGGGTTCGGGTGGGGCCACAAAGGTTCCGTAGGCCAAGAGCACAAGGGAACCCAGATCGAGCGGCGTGGCGCCTGGTGTGCCCTCGCTGGGCGGCACGGCCCCTTTAAGAGCCGGGTGGAATGTATCAAAACAGAGGTCCGCGCGCTGACTGGCCGCGCGCCGCACGTGACCGCACAGCTGATTTCCTGGCCCTAGGATTTTCTTTTTCTTTATTTTTTTGTTGCCGTTGCTGCCGTCTCCGCGGCCGCCGCCGAGTGTCAGTTTCAGCGCCACCGCCTGCGGTCTCTGCGCCTCAGCTGCCCGCCGCCTCACTCCGCAGCCGCAGCTCTGCGCGCCGGCCCCGCCGAGCGTTCTGCCCCGGGTCCGAGGGCGCCCGGCGCGCACTGATGGCGCACTCGGCGGCAGCGGCGCCGCCGGGCGTCCTGGAGCAAGGCTGCCCCATCCGCGTGGAGCACGACCGCCGGCGCCGCCAGTTCACCGTCCGGCTCAACGGTAACGCGGTCCGGCCCGCCCCCCACCTTTTGTCTGCAGCCCAGCTGGCACTACCGAGACTGCTCTCTAGCTGGAGCGCCCGCGCCGCCGCCTCGCGGCCCCCGGCCTCCGTCCGCCGGGAACCCGGCCCCCAGCCCTCGGTCGCCGGATCCCTGGGTCCCGGGACCCCGCCTCCCAGACCCCGGAACCCCGAGCTTTCGTCCCCAGTCCTCCGGATCCCCAGACCTCGAGCCTCAGTCCCTGGTCCTCCGGACCCCCGGGTCGGGCCTCTGCTTTCCGGGCCCCCGGATCCCCGACCCCTGGTCCCTGGACCCCGACCCTCGATCTGGGGGAGAGGCGCTGATGTGTGTGCCGCGCCGCCGCCGGCCGTTTTTGTGCCGGAAGCTGCACTTGGTGGTTAGTTGGGGCGCGTCCGACTCGCGCGCTGCGCTGGGGCGGCTGGAGGAGAGGTCTTCCCGGGAGCGGTGCTCTATGCGGAGCACCAGAGCCGAGAGGGCAGCCAGGTCTGCGCGCAGCAGATTGAGGCGCCGGCCGGGTGAGCAGTGTCCCCAGGGGAGAAAGAGGAAGGGCAGAGGCAGCTCTGGTCCCTTGTCACCATCCGCCTGCCTCAGACCCTCAGAAGATCCGCACCTGCTCAGGCCTGACTGTTTTCCGGTGTTTGGCTCCTGGTGAGGGCTGCTGTTTGAGATCTTGCAGAGTGGGTCAGCTGTGACTGTGCCCCTTCCCGCCTTTTTCCAGCTGTTAGATTGCTTCTTGCTGTTCTTGGGAACTTTGTCTGTCTTACACCGAGGAGGTTGGAGAATCCTCTGGGTGGACCTAGGGTCGGTGGAGAAGAGGGACTTCTGGCCCCTAAGGGGGTATTTAGGAGATGACGGCTCTGAGACTTGGGCCAGACCTCTCTCTCTCTTCCTCAGTTTCTAAATCTCTAAAATGGGAATAACAGTAGCGCATACCACATTGAATGGTTGTAAAGGATGAAATGCAGTAAAAAGAGCCAAGTCTCAGAACAGCGCCAGAACCGGCCACAAACACAGTCTGATCATTATTTTTAAAGCCAGAGCGAAGGTGAGTTCTCTTTCCTGTGGAGAAAGGTTTCACTACTCCCTAGGCCACACTCCCGTTCTCCTGGGAAGGGGGCTGTAAATAGAATTATGAAATATAGGAGCACGCGCTCCCAGCGTCTCCCCAACCCCACTCTCTGCATTGATAACTTCTCTGTCCTCCCTGCCGGGCCTCCTGCAGCAGGGTCCAGCAGGAAGGGCCCTTGGAGCCACTGTGCCCATCTCAGAGAAGAGGAGATGGGAACCCCCAAAGTGAGAGCCTCCTGAGTGGCAGAGTGGACTGGGGCAGAGCTGGGACAGGCCTGACTGTGAGCTGGGCTTGCCCCAGCTCACATTGGCATTTCTCAGACCCACTCTGGGGCTGTGCTGGGTGTCAGGCCAGGCCCTGCCACATCCACTGCCTCGTGGATGCTCTGTCACAACATCCCTGTGATGTGGCATTGTTACTCCACGTTACAGATTAGTAAACTGAGGCTCGGGCCACACAGGCTTGCTCAGAAGGAAGTGGCTTGCCCAGCATCACATGGTACTGGAACTGGAATTCAGGCCTGGCTGGACTGACCCCACAGCCCATGTGGGAGCAAGTTCCCTGTTGCTGTGGGTGCCAGCCCTGGCCTGCCCTCCCAGGATGCTTAAGACCCTGCTACGCTGATGGGTTGAAGCTGTGTGGCATGTCAGCCTCCTTTCTGAGGTTCATTTGGGGACTCGGAGGCAGAAAGAAAAAGGGAGCATTGGGGGTTTTTCTTCTTTCTCTTCCAAGTAGGTCCAGCTAAAGTGCAACTCACCAGAGACGACTACCACCTGGCCAGGCATGCTAGCCTCCTCTTAGCTTGCCCTGTCCCAGGTCCAGCCTCTGGTGGCTACCTACAAATGTCAGCTCTGGGTAGGGAGGCAAGAGGTGAAGTGGAAGTGGAGCTGGCAGCTCCCCTCCAGGTTCTCTGGGCAGGGGCTGCATGCGCTGTTGGGCCTCCCCTGGGGCCACCAGGCCAGGCCAAGTCTGAGTGAGTCTCTGGGGGTAGGGGAGGGGCCCACCCACTGTCTGACCACCCCCCTGCCCTTATCTGGGGAGCTGCCAGACAAGTCCTTGAGGCTGGCAACTCCTTGCTGTATGCCCGCGGAGAGATGTGAGCACCGAGGCTTTGAGGCCAAGCGCCCCGGGCTCCAGGCTGGCAGGGCAGCTGTGTGCCCGGGTCCGCCCCAGCCAGAGTTAGGCTGAGGAGCTTCCAGCAAGCTTTGGTTCCAGGTGATGGAGGTGCGTTTATTAAGCACTTGCTGTTTTTTAGGCCCCATGCACTTGAAATCACTTATTTATCCTCATGCAACGCTGGGCAGGGTGAGGTAAAGCTGCTCCTCCCGTTTCACAAATGGGTAAACTGAGGCAAAGAGAGGTGAAATGCCTTGCCCAGGTCTTGCACCTCAGAAGTGGAAGCCTGGGATTTACCCTACAAATATTTATTGAGCACCTACCGCACGTCAAGCACTGTTCTAGGTGCTGGGGGTCCAGCCATGCTCAAGACAGGCAAAGCCCTAACGGGAGGGAGTGTTGGGGAAGGTGTTGCTACTTAGAGAATCAGGTAGCCAGGAAGGCCCCCTGGGAAGGTGGCCTGTTAGTATAGGCATGAAGGAGGCAAGAAGGGAGCCTTCACAGAGAATAGCAGGAGCAAAGGCCCTGTGGCATCTGGAGTGTGTTCAGAGCAGCAGGGAGGCCGAGGGGCTAAAGTGGAAGGTTGATAGAGGAGGGTGGTAGAAGATGAGGTCAGAGAAGTAGTGGGGTAAGCAGGGGAGGTGCAAGGGCCTTGGAAATAGGACAAAGCAGGGAGGTGGCTACTGTACCAGTCTGGGCAGTGGGAGTAGGGGTGGGGAGAAATGGCTGGCTGCTGGACAGATGTTCAAGGAATTTGCTGACACAGGGTCTCAGAGAAGGACCTCGGGCTTATCTGGTCCCCAAATCCGGTCTCTTAAACACTAGCTTGTATTATCACCATTTTAGAGATGGGGAAACTGAGTCACAGAGCCAGGAGGCAGCTAAGCCAGAATCTAGCCCCTAGGTCTCCATCTGAGGGTGTCATCATCTGAAGGCCAGAGGAAGCCTGGTGAGGCCCCCACCCCCGAGCAGCCCTTCCTTGGCCTGCCTTATCCTCCTCAGCCAGGGCTGAGCACCTCACTTCCTATAGGAAGAGGTAGAACAGGGACCTGGGTTTTGGCTTTAGCTCTGCCTCAGTTTCCTCAACTGAACCATGGGCATTTTGGTCTGCCACCTTCCTTGTGGGAATGGTGGAGCAGAGCCTCTTGCGAACCTGCCTGCTTTTGACTTCTCTGTAACTGCCTCCCTGGTCATTTCCTGGTGCCCATTTGTCCAAGGTTCATCCTGCCTGGGGCTGGGGGAGAGCGGAGGGCCCTGGCTGGGGAGAGCTAGGGAAGGGCCCTCCATTCTGAGATCTGGATCTGACTCTCAGGGCCCCAGGAGGGAGATAGTTGTAGTGACTGTCCCAAGGACAGATGAGACTCTTGGCCCCCCAAGGCCACCTGGCAGAGCAGGGACTCAGACCCAGGGTGGTACCTGCTGCCCCCGCTCCCTGGGGCTACAAGTACTGCTTCCCCCAGATAAGGGCCTGGCACTGGAGCTGGGGTGTGACCAGGTGGCCCTGCCCTTGGACCTAGAGCCAAGATAACAGTACGCACAGGCCCAGCCACCACATGCCCAGGGCACCAGGGTGGCTGACAGTGAGGCTGCTTGTATTTGCTCTCGAGGGATGGTGGCCACCTGGGGGAGGGGAGAGGGGACCTCTCTTGGGAGGGAGATGACATTTGGACTCATTTCAGATAATAAGGAGCTGATCCTTCTTGGGGGCAGAGGAGCAGCAGGAGGTCATTGGAGCTGCAACAAAGGCCCAAAGTGGGAGCAGGAGCTGGGGTCTGACGCCTGCTTTTACAGGCTGCCTCTCAGAGACCTTGTGGGGGGAGGCACAGAAGCAGGGAGGCCTCTGAGGTGGTCATGGCACCCGTGGGGCAGGCGACGAGAATAGGTGGTAGCTGTGAAGAGCTGGCTGTGGTCAGATCATGGCCACAGCCCTGCTGGAAGGTGTGGGAGAGGACGAAAACAAGGACAGCCCAAGGTTTGGGCCTGAGCCCCTGGGGTTGGCCATCTTGGGGGTCTGCAGGAGTTTGACATTGGCTATGAGGAGAGAAAGTGCATTGTAGGCCATGCGGCAGGCATGAGCGACTATTATTGGTGACCCCTGAGGACCCTCCAACAGTGAGGCACCAGGCACAGGCCAGACACTCAAGGTTGGTGATTAAGGGTCTGATACCCTCCACCCAATGAGACGTGTCTTTCCCTTGTGAGCAGCCCCACACCCGCCCTGGTAACCCTGGATGCCCTCTGGTCCCCTTCCAGCCACAAACCCTCCTCACTGAGCTCAGTCCCATTACCCACCACCTCCAAGCTGCATGACCTGGCCTCCCTGTGCCTCAGTTTCCCTGTAGGGTTATCGTGAGGATTGCTCATTGAGCATGTGGAGAAGGCTGGGCCCAAGCCTGGCGTGGCAAGCCAGTTGGTCCTATTGTCTCCCAGGAGCCTTGGGCCCCTAGAGCCCAGGCCATGGGGCATGGCCACAGCCTGCCTTGACCCCCTAGTGTGTGCTGGACAGAGGGAAAAGCGTGTGTTTGTGCAACAGATATTTCATGTGTCTGCTCTGGACTGCGCATGCGTGGTGACCAAGCCTGTGGAACCCCCAGGGGTTGACAGGGAGGCAGAGAGTCCACTACAGCCCAAGTGTGTGGTCCAGGCATATTAACTGAAGGAATAAATGAATTAATGTGTGAACGAACAGGAGAACACAAGCAGATGTGCTGGGGTTTGAGGCCCTGCTTTGCATAGGTGGATGTGTGGTGTGAAAGTTGAAACCTTTTCAGTGACTGTCCTGCAAGACCCTGCCTGACCCAGCTCCCAACCCTCTGACTTGGTTTCCTCTCTATCCCCTCACACACTCGGGTCCAGCCACCTGGTCCTCTGACAGCTATGTCAGGCTTTACGCTTGCTGAGAACGCTCTTCCCCCCAGATAGCCTTTTAGCTCCTCACCTCTTTCAAATCTTTGCTCAAGAGAGGCTTCTGTCTACCCTCTTTAGAGTTGCACTTCTTCCCTTGCCCTTCCCCGCTCTACTGCATTGACTTGGCCCGCATCCCTTCTAATATCACCTTACTTCTCTGTCTCCCCAACTAAAGTGGGACCTCCACGAGGGAGGGCTTTTTATCAGTTTTGTTCACTGCTGCACCCCTGGCACCTGAAACTTGATGATCTTCTGGGTGACTAAGTGACCAGGAGAGGTGGGCAGCTACCTCAGTGACCAGGTCAGCCCCAAAATAGCCTCCTGATCTTAGTGGCCTGTCCTGGGTGAGCTGAATTAACCCTGACAGGTGGCGGTAACTGAGATTCGAGAGCCCAGTCCCAGGTGGTGTAACCAGGGCAGTGGGCACAGGCATGTGACGCTGCAGTCGGGCCACGTGAGGATGTGCCAGGGGCTGGGGGCTCCCCTCAGCTGGGCCTCAGGGCAAGTAGGAATCGTGCCTGGCCAAAAAGGGGGGAAAGACATTGCAGACAGAAGGGCCGGCTCAAGCAAGGGCCTGGAGGCCAGAGTTCGAGTTACATAGCAGAAGGGATGAACTTGGCTGAGGATCTGGAGCCTAGACTTGCTATGTGATCTCAGATGAGTCAGCACCCCTCCTCTGCATCTCAGTTTCCCCATCTGGAGGTGGAGAGGTAAATGGTGGCCTCCATCCTAGAGCTTTAGGGAGAGTCAGCCGAGACAACCTGGACCAGAAAGCCGTGTAACTGGAGTTGGACTCCGTTCTGGTGTCTGACTTGCCATGTGACCCTGGGTGGGTTACTGTATATCTCAGCCTGTCGCTCTTAACCCTGTGACATCCAGCATAGGCTCGGAGCCCAGGCAGCATCGAAGAGCAGATTATCTGTGGTGCGTTAACGTTAAAACACAGGAAAAGCAATTTACTTTTAGTAGAGAGACATGTGACATCAACATATCTTTTAGGGCTAGTAAATTGTGTGTTCCAACCTTAGGGCCTTTGCACAGGCTGTGCCTTCTGCCATGTGTCCCCTACTCTTCCCTCTGCTGCTTCCTACTCATGTTCACAGCTCAGAGGTATTCTCTTTGGAGGGGCCTCCCCTAGCTGTCTCTGGCTAAATAGCCCCATCCTCTCCCATCTGTAACACTGTAGCAGTAGTTTTGGACCTCGTCTGACTTCAGGGAGAATGAGAATCAGCATCAGCCCAAAGCTGATTCCTGTGAGGTGGAGGTCAGACACACCTCTGCTCTCCAACCTTTTCACCAATTCTGACACCGGCTGTCCTCCCAGTGGCACTCTCTAGGGAACTTCTTTACTGGGTTCAGTAATGTATTGCAATGGCTACCCATAGCACACAGACCGTAGTCAGTTACATGGTTTATTAGGGAAGTAACATGGATCAGGATTAACTTGGGAGTAACAGGAACAGGATCGATGTCAGGAAGCACATGGGCAAGGTCTGGAAGGATCCCCCAAAGTGAAGAGGACATTCCTCCCTTCTTTAGTGTAGGATGCTTCACTTTATTCCCCCCCCCCCCCGTGCAGGCCTCCTCTAGGACCCAAGGACAGGCTCCCCTTGGCCCCCTCCAGACAGTCTCTTCTCAGCCCTCTCAGGACAGGACTCCCCTCGGCACCCTTAGGACAGACTCCCCTTAGCCCCCTCAGGACAAGCTCCTCTAGGCCCCTGCCCTGCTCAGGCAAGTGTTACAGCTCTTTTAGTTCCCCCAACAAGTGCCTGGAGGACCCCACTCTGCCAGCAAGCCTCCTACCTGAAGACACTGAGCTCTCTTGCTCTGTGGGTCAGTCAGCCCACCATAGCCACTTCATTCAGTGAGCCAGGAAGCCCACCAGTTCGTCTTGCACCAGTCTCCTGATTCTGCTGCCTTCGCTCCAGTGTTACAGCTTTCTTGTCTCTTGGGTCTAGGAGGTTCTCAGTGTAGGGACCCAGGTCCAAAGGGTATGCTCTGCTCCAGGCTCTTCTTGATGACGGTGAGGTCCCCCTCAACCTCTGTGGGATGGATGCTTATATAGGCAAGTGGCTCAATCCTATTTGGTGGATTTTACATACCCTATATGCGTAATAACTGACCAATCCCCTCTCTGGACTAAACTGACCAGTCCCCTCACAAGAGGCTCCATCTGTTCGCATAGTAACTGACATTTTCTGCTGGTAGGAACTGGCTTCTTCCCTGGGCAAAAGTAACAAGCTTCTGCAAATGACTAGGGCAGCCGTAACAACTCTCCAGGGCCCAGGGGAAAATCTCCCAAGCTGTTTTCTTTTTCTCTTTTACAGAACCAAGGCAAAAGGCCACATAAACTCATTTTACCACACCCTCACTCACTCCACTTCGGCCACTGGGCCTCCTTGCCATTCCTCAAACATGCCAGGCACACTCCTGCCTCAGAGCCTTTGCACTGGCTGTTCCCTCTGCCTAGAATGCTGTTCCTCTAGTTACCCTGTGGCTGACTCCCTCTCCTCCTTTACGTCTCCATCCCCAAACTCCTTTCTCATGAGGCTCTCCTGCCCAGCATTCACCAAGGCCTTTCCCTGTATACTTTTCTCCATAGCACTCCTTTGCTTTTCTTGTTTATTATCTGTCTCCCCTTCTAGAACATCAGCTCCATGAGGGCAGGGGTCTTGTCTGGCTTGTTCCCTGCTGTATCTCCAGAAGCACAAACGGTGCCTAGAGCTCAAAGACATTTGTTGATTGGTTGAGTGAATGAATGAGGAACAAAAACTGTGGTTGAGCAAACTTTAGTTCCTTTTCAACAGGAGGAGTTTAGGGGGTGGGCCAATAAGCCCCCACCCCCACAGGCCTTTGCCCATGCAGACCTGGGAGGTGTGAACACTGGTGTCCGGGGAGCTGCAGCCCACTGACTGCATCTCTGCCAGGGTCCGGCGGTGGTCCTGATGTATTTCCCAGCCCTGTCTCTCTTGTCTTGTGCCCTGGTGTAGTTGAGGGTTTGCTCAGCCCTGCTGTGTGTCCAGCACTGGGCCCTGGGACCTTCTGGATGGGGCTCAGGTGGGGACTCAGAGAGCTGGGCCATGGAGGGGGTGGAGGGGTCTTGGAATGCTAATACTGATGATAGCAAAGGCTTCCATGGTGCTTGGTATGATCTGTTGTTGTTCTTATTGGGTGCCGTCAAGTCAATTTTTGATTCACGGTGACCCTAGGTGACAGAGTAGAACTGCCCCATAGGGTTTTCTAGCCAGTAGTCTTTACAGAAGCAGATTGCCAGGTCTTTTCTCCTGTGAAGCTGCTGGTGGGTTACCACCAACCTTTTGGTTAGCAGCAGAACGCTTGACCATTGCACCACCAGCCCTCCTTTGGTACATTCTAGGCACCGTTAATTCTTGCCTTCCATGTGGGAGACCCTGGTTCAATTCCCAGCCAGTGCACCTCATGGGCAGCCACTTCCCATCTGTCGGTGGAGGCTTGTGTGTTACTATGATGCTGAATAGGTTTCAGTGGAGCTTCTAGGCTAAGACAGACTAGGAAGAAAGGCCTGGCAATCTTCTTCTGAAAATCAGCCAGTGCAAACCCTATGGATAACAATGATCTGATCTGCAACCAATCATAGGAATGGTGCAGGACCAGGCAGCATTTTGTCCCATTGTGTATGGGGTTGCCATGAGTCGGGGTCAACTCCACAGCAGCTAACAACAGGCACCGTTCTAAGCATGTTACAGACAGAGATGAACTCATTTAATCCTCCAACTAGCCCTTTAAGTAATGTTATAAATTATATTCCTACTTTACATTATAAATTATATCCCTGGTGAGGCCCAGGGAGATTTGCATGAATGTCCCAAGGTTACTGAGGACTCATCTCCAACAGCCTGCTCCAAATGCCGGTCCCTCCACCCAGCTTCCACTCCCAGCTTCCACTGCTGAGTCTGCAGAGGCCAGGTATCGAGTCAGCTGGGCCCGTGTAGGGTCTGAGCCTGGGCTGGCCTGCCAAGCCCTGCCTGCCTCCCCGGGTTCCTATGCCCCTGGAGTCTCCATGGCCTCACGTTGTTTCCTTCGCTCCCAGGATGTCACGACAGGGCTGTCCTGCTCTACGAGTATGTTGGCAAGCGGACCGTGGACCTACAGCATACAGAAGTTCCCGATGCCTACCGTGGGCGAGGCATTGCCAAGCACCTTGCCAAGGTAGGGTGGCCTGGGGGTGGGGGCGGTGCAGGGTGGGGGAAGTTGGGGGGGGCAGCGCCTGGGGCCAGGTGAGAGGAGGGGAGAGTCAGCATGGGGGCAGGCTGCAAGGGAGGGTGACTGGTGGTGGCTCAGGAGGGTGGAGCTGGGGGTGGGGGTGGCGCCGACCAGATCCAGCCCAGTTCTTGGTCATAGCCCAGACTCAAGTGTCCACTTCGCAGCTTGGAATGGGCTCTTGTCAGTCAATGTCACTTTCCCAGCTTCTGGGCTGGGACAGGTGCTGTGCCAGCCAGGAGGTACCGCCCTCCCACCCACCTCCAGGCACAGGGAAAGGGACGGCCAGCTGCGACCAGTCCTTTGCGGCTGGTGCCTCGGCCTACTGCCCTGCCCTGCCCTGTCCTGCCCACTAAGGTGTGGCCTCACCGCCTGTGTGTTGGGCACTTCACAGACACCTGATGTCCCCTCTCCACCCCTGCACCTGGCATATAGTAGGTTCTCAGTAAATTCCAGAGTAATTGCATGAATGAGTGGTTCACTAGCTTGTGCCGCTCCCAGCCCCCAGGGCAGCTTATTCCCCAAAGCGCTTTGACCAGGGCTGCTGGGGAGCAGGTTTGGGGCTAATGAAGAGCAAAGAGTGGCTTTAACTTCCTTAGTGGGGCTGCTACAGTAGGTTCCGTGTGTGGGTTGCCCCAGGGTTCTTTCTTTGCCTGCTCTTCCCTTTCCCCGAGGAATGAGGCCTCCTTTCCTGCCCTTGTTTATTTGGGTGCTGCCTGGGCAGGGCTGGGCTCACGGGGCCTTTGCCTTTCTAGGGCAGAAGTGTTGTGTCTAAGTGGCACCTGCCCTTTCTCCCTCTGTTCTGACAATCCTGTGAGCCCTGTCTGTGGGGAGTACCCCACATCACAGATTCGGAAACAGACTCACAGAGGGTTCATGCCCTGGGCAGAGTGGGAAGGTTGAGGGAGCCTAGGTAGGCACCTGCCTCCCTTACCTGGGGGCCTACTTGGCCCCCTGCCCTCTGGCCTCCCTGAGGGGGTAAAGGCATACCCCCTTGAGCCCCAGCCCTGCCCAGTCCTGTGACCTCCAACAGGTGCCCTCAGGGCTTCACTTTCTTTAACTGCAAAATGGGAGGATAGGATGGTGAGGCTAGCGTAGTGTCCCCAGTGGTCTGGCTGATAAAGCCTGTGACCAGGAGATGGAGAAGGGCTGGCCTTGGAGGCTGCAGAGCTGGAGAGACTGGGCAGGACATGAGAGGGACAGCGGGGCCACTGCCAGCACCTGGTAGGTGCTCAGTGGAGGCCACTTGCTAACCCCACCCAGGCCACCTCCACTGTCTTTCAACAAACATTAGACATTCAGCGGTATACAAGGCATCCTACAAGGCAAGGGAGGTGAGGATGACTTGGACTTATCCCTTGCTCTCAGGGCTCATGAGCTAGTTGTAGAGAAGTGGACTAAAGGATAATAGCCACAGGCCAAAAGCCACAAACCGCCCCTCCGCAACACCATCCCCCCACGGACATTGACTTAGGGAGGCTGCCACATAGTGTGACCTGGTGGGGTGCCAGGGGAGCCCTAGAGGGCCACGGAAACCTTCAGGCGACCCCTGCCTCAGCCTAAAGGGGAAGGCTTTGGAGGCTTCCAGGAAGCGGCATCAAAGGAGCAGGGGTTGAAGGATGGGTGGAAAAAGAAGAGGGGCCTGTCAGTGCAAAGGCCCGGAGACTCTAGGAGAGGGTGAGGCATGCTGGGGTGGGCCAGGCACAGAAGCTGGGGTGGGGGCTGTAGAGCAAAAAGGAGAGACTGCAGGGGGAGCACTGCTCTGGCTCTGGTCCCTCTAATGGCTTCTGTGGGTCTTCTGGGCTGCCCTTGCAAAGACATGCACTTTACCCACACTCACCTCCGCGTGTGGTCTCTCAGCTGCCCTGAGGTGACAGCCCATGGGGAGCGGTGCAGAGACTGCGTTCAGTCCTGACTCACTTTTTTTCTGGCTTTGTGGTCTTGGGCAGCTTGCCAAACTGCTCTGTTCCTCAGTTTCCCCAACTAAACTGGGGGATGATGTTATTCACATGTCTAAGACCACCCCAAGGTATGACCAGAGTCCTGTGGGCAGTTCCAAGTGCTGGGGCAGGCAGAGCAGGGATGAGGCCCGCTCCTGCCTTCAGGGAGCTGGGGCCGGCAGAGGGGACAGAGTGGCCACCCCCTTTCGGTCAATAGGTGTGTAGCTGCTGGGACGGCCATGCACTGCACTGTGGCCTCAGCTCAGCGGCACTGATGCTGTTTCCTCTCTGCCGGCTCCCAGGCTGCGCTGGACTTCGTGGTGGAGGAGGACCTGAAGGCCCATCTCACATGCTGGTACATCCAGAAGTATGTCAAGGAGAACCCCCTGCCGCAGTACCTGGAGCGCGTGCAACCGTAACCCCAGCCCCTAAGGCGGGAATGCTCTGTTCCGGACCTTTTCACATGGCCTTCACCTGGCCATCTGTGTGCTCTCAGGAAACCTCAGCCCTGTTGGGACCAGGCTCAGTTATTTTTGTAAGGACGCCTCTCAGTGGCCCCATCTCCAGACCCCTGGTGGCGTCCATTTGTTTTGGAAGGAGGCCCGGGATGGTGGGAGAGGACACTCTTCCTGCCTCCGTCCTCCTCCCCTCCTGGGCTTGTCCTCGCAACCGCCAATGCCTCCCTCCCCAGACCGGTCAGCCCCCTTTTCCCTCTTCCCTGCAGAGAGATGGGGGCAGAGACGGCAGGCTGAGAGTGCCATCCCAAGAGAAGGGCTGGCAGAGGATGCCGGTGGGTAGGGAGCTGGTTGCTGTGGTGAAGGGGGAGGCCGGGCAACAGTGGTCCCCACAACACCCACTCTGCAGAGAGGGGCAGCTTCTCAGGAGGCTGCTCCAGCCTGCCCATGCCTGTTGGGGTGAGCAGGTGAGGACCCAGGGCCAGGACAGAGCATGGATAGGGACATATCTGTGGCTAGCCTGGGGGTCCCACCTGCTGGTCCCTGCTGTGGGCTTTCTGGAGGGACAAGGGGCAGGGCATGTCATCAGCGGGAAGGCTGATTTGGAACCCCTGCTTCCACCTCCATGGTCGATGTCCTTTCTGCAGATGAGGAGAGTATTCCCTAAGGCCAGAGGAGCAGTAAGAAATCTTGTGTGCCAGCTGCCGGGGGTGGTAGCTCCAAGCCTTGGCTGCCACCAGGGCGGCGCCTTCTCTTTCTCCTACTTTTCTGCCCTGGTGCGGGGGCAAGGCCAAGGACGAAGGATAGTTTGCCTGAGAGAGAGGAGAAGGGGTGACTGAGTGCTGGCCCAGGCCCCGCTGTGCACACTCAACTGAGGCACACATGTACACATGCACACATGTACACACGTACACATGTATGGGATCTTAAGTGTGGTGGTGCCTCCAGCCAAGGGGCTGAGGGTGGGGAGCAGTTGGCTGCTGTCCTCTTTTCAGTACCCCATTTCCTTCTCCTTTTGTCTGTCAGCTGTGCTGGAAACCGAGGCCTCCAGTCCCCACACCCCGCTGCCCCCTATTTGTCTCTCTTCTGTCAGGAGCCCAGCCCCAGGGCTGCCATCTGGGTGTAGCCAAAGTGAATACAGGCCCCCTTGGCAGGGATCCCCACTCACTAGTCACTGACGTTGTTGCCACATGGTGGGCTTCCTCAGAGACGACGCTTCGGAGCTGGGAGGGAGGGAGGCAAAGCATCTTTAAATACCTGCCCTGCCGCACAAGAGGAGGGCATGTGTCTGCCGAGGGGTTCCCTTTGCTGCTGCCAGACATCTGCCATGGGACACTGTGGTGGGGCGTGTCTTGGTGGCTGTGGGCCCAGGGTCCCCCCCCCATCAGCCCCTGTGTGGAGCCTGGCTAGCCACCAGGACACACTCGGCTTTTCTGAGGGATTCCTTTTGGGGGCAGCAGGCATCTCTCTGGTTCGAGGTCCTTACCTCCTATCCCTCACTCTCCACAACGGTCAGATCCATTCCTGCTCCTCTGTGGAACTAGAGAAGGACCCTGGAGTCTGAGTCCCTTGTGTGCTGAGATGTCGGTCGGCAGTGAGTCCCTGGGGGATGCCCCCCCCGCCCCCCGCAACCAGGCCACGACTCGATGGTACAGGCAGGGGTAGAACCAGGAGCCCCACCACCATGCCACCCTCCTGAGTGCCAGGGAGCCAGGGTAGGTTCCACGGTGACTTCTCCCTCTGTCTGACCTTCCCTCCTCTCCTCAAGCCTTGGCACTGAGGCTCTCTTGCCTTCTTCCCTGACACTGCACTCTTGCCTTCTTCCCTGACACTGCGCTCAGAGGGGCCACCAGCTGGCACTGTGGGCAATGTCTTCCCACCTGCCGCAGGGCCACTGTGGCCTGCTTGCCTGCGGGGGTCCCTGCAGAGCCCCCAGCCCTGTGACAGACCCTCCTGCTAGGACCTCAGGAACCCCTGGGAGGGCTGAGGGCCAGCCCCCTCCTCTTCCCATCACTCTCCTTAGGAGCCCCTTCCTGAGCCTGGCACCAAGGGGAGGGAGCAGAGATGCCTGGCCTCCAGGAAGAATTAGTTGAGAGGAAGTGGGCTCAGCGCCTGTGTGCCCTCCAAGGATAAGGGGTCCCATTCCCGGCACCATTGAGGAAAAGGAAGGCTGTGGGCAGGAGTGGACCTACGGCCAGCCCAGGTCTGGGTCTCCTCCCTCCCTTGGTGTCATGGGCAGCTGGGCCTGGGCCCCCTTCTTGTCCTTCTCTGGGACCCCTCTCCACGCACACATCCTTCCCAGGCTCCAGGGCAGATTCTGCCATGCAGATGTCTCTCCCCAGTAGCTCAGTGAGCTCGTGCTTGTCCTGTGTCCCCTACGTGGCCTGCAGGGGGTGTTGGCTCCAGGAAGCCCACCCAGCCTCTCCAGGGCGGCCCATGGATCCCTGAGGGAGGCTCAGAGGGCAAGGGCGGGCACTGGGGTGCAGGGGATGCCAGCAAGGAGTGTGTTTGAGCCTGAACCTCGGATTCCGCACTGTGTCCTGCCAGGAGATGGTTTGCCATGCCCGGCTTGGCACACACATGACACACTTAGTGTTTGAACAAGGAGCTGGGCTGGAGCAGCCCCTCAGGCCACCTTGAGGGGCTGCCACCCCTGCTGGCCAGCCACGTCTCCAGCGTAGCCAGTGTTGGCATCAGTAGCCGCATCTCCCCAGTCAGGGGCGCTGTGTCCCTGCAGACCCTGCCTTGGAGCCCCCAGCCCCTCCTCATTAGTGCTGACCCCTTTGTCCTCCATCCCTGCATCCTGTGTGTCCTGCCCTCACAGGAGGCAGGTCCTGTGGGGTCATTCCGTGTGCCCAGTGGCAGAGGGACACTCAGGGGCTGAGGGTCCCCAGGCCAAGCTCTCTGCCCTGCAGTCATTCTCAGCCATCCTCTTTCTTGCCAAACTGTGCTCTGTGGGTTTCTCTTTTTGCCTGGTCACTATAGGTGGTCACTCATGTGCCTTTCTGACTCAGGACCTGTTAAACAGATGATACTGGGCCAAGGCTGCTCTCTGGACCTGTTCCCTTTTATTTTTAGCTCATGGACATCCCACATGAAGTATATTTCAATAAAGATGTGGCCTTGTCTGCCCAGCTTGGAACTGCTGCTCCTGAGAGAGGGAGGGGCTGTTGCCATCCCCACGCTGCCATCCTCATCCTCTCATCAACCCCAAGATGGGCCCCACTTTTACTGAGGGGGAAACTGAGGAACGGAAGGGTGAAATAGCCCACTGGGGTGTAGGAAAGGAAAGGAGAAGTCAGGGTCCGAAAGTGTTTTCCATTCTTCTGTCCCTGGGGTTTAAGCTCCATGGTTGTTAATCATCAGCACAACCCGGAATAGTAGAAATAGACCTGTTTTTCAGATAAGGAGAGCAAGGCCCTGACAGCAGCAGGACCTGGCTGAGGTCTTAAGGCAAGGAGGCAGTGGAGTCAAAATCCTGATCCCAGGCAGGGTGACGCTGGTGTCCATTTCCTGTCCACACCCCTTTGTTCCCATCTGGCCCAGCCCCCGTCCCATGGTCTCCAGTGCCACCCAGTCTCCTGAGAGAAGGGCACAGTCATGCTCTTAGTAGGCAGCTCCCCCTTCCCTTCCACGGCTGCTTTGTGGAGTTCATGTTCCTGTCCACCCTCAAAAACTCTTTCTTTGGGACTTCTGGCTCAGTGGAGTTAGGAGGGCTCTGGCTCGTCTTAGAATGTGGCAGTGAACAGGTCCAAAAGGTGAGCAGTGACAAACCTCAGAACCCACAGGGCAGGACTGATCTGTATGCCATGCTGGGGCCACTTCTCATCTGCCTGGGCTGCTGCAGGAGGGCAGTGACACCTGAGTTGGAATTTTTCCCTCTTAGAGCTTCCACTTGGAGTTAAAAAACAAAAACAAAAACAAAACCGTTGCTGTTGAGTCTATTCTGACTCATAGCAACCCTATAAGACAGAGTAGATCTGCCCCATAGGGTTTCCAAGGAGCGGCTGATGGATTCGAACTGCTGACCAGTTGGCAGCCGGTTAGCAGCCAAGCTCTTAACCACTGTGCCACCAGGGCTCCTACTCAGGAGGTACCCACCCCCAGACAAATGGGGAAGAGATGGGCAGTACAGTTGCCAGCCCCTTCATGATCTTACCCATCTTCCTCCCCACAGTCTTTCCACGGGATAATGTGATTAGGCTTGTTTTACAGACGAGGAGACCGAGGCCAGAGAACAGCCTAAGGTCTATCCAACTTAGAAGGAGATAGAAGAAGAATTCAAACCCAGCCCCTATCCTCTTCGTATGATGATGTGAGGTCATATGTCCACTCTGGGTAACACGTGGCCTTCGAGAGGAATAAACAGATGAAACTCAACAACTTCTTTGCTCATTTGGAAGGCTGAAGTAGGGCTCTGTTTCAAGCTACATGGCCCATAGGTAATCAAGAGTGGCTGGCTTGCGTGGAGAAGATGAAAAGCTGGGATCATAAGCAGGAATATTTATGGCACACCCAACTCTCGCTAGTCACACACTTCCCTCCCCTGCTCAGGTCTCATATTTGTTCAAGTCTGCCCAAATGTCCCCTCTGCTATTCTCAGGGTCCCACGCCTTCCAATCAGTGTCCTAACATTCACATAAGAGATCCGGGGAGGCTGTGAATTAAGCTTGTAACTGCAACCTGCAGGGTCAAACCTATGTTATCAGTTGTATTGATCTCATGGCTACAAGATATTAAAGAGATTCTTTTTCTGGCTCTCAAAGATGCTCTCTGCTTTTCTCTTCATGCCTTCATCTGAGTTTAAAACCCTGAGTTACACTTTTCTTTCTCTTGCTTCTCCAGTGCAGGCAGAAGCAGCCAGCCTACCCCCAGAGTCTTTGTAGTTACCAGTCCTGTTACAACGATCAAGTGCAGCAACCATTGGACTCCCAAGCTTTGCCTACAAGAGGCACTTCACCCCGGGTGGCCATAGGTGATCTTTTAAGTACTAATTTGCTTTTGAACTTTGCTGTGAACTTGCAGGGCACCATTTTCCCCTGGGCAATGAGGTCCTTACTGTGCTCCAGTCCATTCGGGTCAGTCAGATAATCAATCCTGGATTTCCAGCTTTTAGGGACTATTTCCTGGGAGGTCATTTCTGCTGCCAAGAACAATATTAGTGTATCAAACAGGAAATTTAATACAGGGAATTTGTTACTGTATCCATCAGGATTCTCCACAGGAACACTGATAGGATGTGTGTATGTGTGTGCACGTGTGTGTGTGTGTGTGGACAGTTTTTTTCTCTAAATTTTATTTTGTTGTTTTTGAGAATACACAGCAAAACATACACCAGTTCAACTGTTTCTACATGTACAATTTAATCATTCTCACCCTCCTTTTCTGAGTTGTTCTTTCCTCATTAACATACACTCACTGCTCCATAAGGTTTGTACCTAATCTTTTGAGTTGCTATTGTCAGTTTGATCCCACATAGTTTTGAAAAGAGCATATGGTTAAGGCAGACCTTTTTTACTATTAAGCTAAACTATTGTTTGATTTTAAGATGACTTCAGGGGATATTTTTAGTTTAAGAGTTAAAGATAATTTCAGGGCAGCAGTTTCCAGGGTTCATCCACCCTCCGTGGCTCCAGAAAGTCTATAGAGTCCATGAGAATTGGAAATTCTGTTCTGCATTTTCTCCTTTTGATCAGGATTCTTCTGGGGAATCTTTGACAAAATGTTCAGTAATAATAGCCGGGCACCAGACAGTTTTTCTGGTCTCTTAGCAAAGGAGGCAGTTGTTCATGGAGACAACTAGCCACACATTCCATTTGCTCATCTTATTCTTCACTCACCTTCCTTTGTTGCTCCAGGTGAATAGAGACCAGTAGTTGTGCCTTGGATGGCTGCTTGCAAAATTTTAAGACTCCAGGCACTATGCAACAAAGTAGGAGGTAGAACAGAAGCACTAAACATATTATTAGGCAATTAATTGGGATGTCCCATGAAACTATGGCCGTGAACCTCCAAGGAACCAAATCCCCTGAGGTATTTGGTTGTACATAAGCAGCCTCAGCAGCTACTTTTTTTTCTTTGTCACTGTTGTATAATATCTGTGACACGACTTTTGCCAATTCAACTTTTTACAGGTGTACAACTTATTGACAGCAATTACAATAATCAGCTGTGCAGCCTTACCCTTAATCAATGTGATTTTCCATCCTGTTAACTCCCCTTGTCCCCCTCCCTTCCACCCCTGGTAACCACTAATAAACTTTGGTCTCTATACATTTGCCTTTTCTTGTCTTTTTATATAAGTGAGGTCATACGATATTTGTCGTTTTGTGCTGGCCTATGTTGCTCAGCATAATGTCTTCAAGCTCCGTCCATACTGTAGCATGTATCAAGACTTCATTTCTCCTGCCAGCTGAGAATTCCATTGTATGTATGTACCACATTTTGCTTATTCATTCATCTGTTGCTGAGCATTTAGGTTCTTTCCACCTTTTGGCTGTTGTGAATAGTAGCTGCAATGAACACTGATATACAAGTCTCTGAGTCTCTGCTTTCAAGTCTTTTGGGTATATACCTAAGAGTAGAATTGCTGGGTCATATGGTAGTTCTATTGTTAGTTATGAGGAACTGCCACACTGTTTTCCACAATGGCTGTACCATTTTGCGTTCCCACCAGCAATGGATAAGTGTTC